TTCATGCTGTCACAAATAATATCTTAGGCTTTCTTTGGATTTAAAAAATTTTTTCTGATTGTTCTTCTCCCTTACTAGTATTGAGAGATTTATCTTCCAGCTCACTAATTCTAACTTCTATTGATTCAAATCTATTCTTTTTCCCTTTGAATGTATTGTTCGTTTCTGTTATGGTAGTACTAATCTTGTGGATTTCTGTTAGCAGGTTTTTTATTGTCTGCAACCCCTTATCTGTTTTGATTGTCCTATAACACTTTTCTGAATTCTTCTTTGTTTTCCTCAAACTGGAGGTACCTTATAGTACTGGGGAATGAGGTTCACAGAATTTTTAGTAGATTTGAACAGTCTGAAGACATAGCCTTTATTGCAGTGCAGTGTTCAAGCCCACTTGTTCTGGTTCCTTCTCTCATGCTTGCTAGAGGTTCATTCAGGCTCCCTAGAAGCTCACCCACTCTAGCTCTTTTTCTTCACTCTCTTCGCTGCTTCTATTCATTTCACTTCACTCTAGCTCTCTTCACTACTCCCAAGAGAGAGTCTCCTCCCTCTTTATACTGGCTGAAACAAAAGAGGCCTGCTGCCAACATTCCATTATTGGTTATACAAGTCCTGGTCATGGCACTGACCAGGACTGCTGGCTCACTAGGGTAGCCCTTCTAGTAGAAATGGGTGAGAAAGCCTGACCAACTCCATTTTCCCCACCTACCTAAATATCATTCCCTGAACTCTTTTTTCAGTCTGGTTCAGTACCTTTTTTTTTCCTCAAAAAATATTTTCTAACTCTGCCTCTTCGTTGTTTTTTTGAGATACATTTTCTTATTGTTGTTGTTTTTAATGTGAACAGAGATTGTTTTTTGTTTTCGAGGCATTGTGACCTCATTGTATTTGTATTAAGTTGAAGAATTTATGTTGTTATATTCTTAGAGATGAGCCTGTGCACCATTCTCTGTTTGTTATTTGTGAAGTTCAGTTCAGGGTGAATTTAATTAATGTTGGTTGTTGTTCCTGATCTTGTCTGTGTATGGTAGCTACTATTGGCTCTGTCCCAATTTTTGGAGATGTAGACAGTACATCTGTGGTTGGGTTGTTTTGGCTGCAGTTGCTGTCTCCTTTAGAGTAAGGCAAGAAGAGAAAATACTCCTGCAAAAGATAAGGAGAACAAAGAAACAAAACAAAAAACAAAAACTAAATAAAAACTGAAAAAGAAAAAAAACAAAACAAAAAAACCAAGATCAACAGAAAATTAAGTGTAATTCTTCTGCGCCACCTACTGGCTTCTTGCCTTCACAGCTACCTGGGAAATTTCAAGATGTGTCTTTCTGCTTATAACCAGTCTTTTTCTTTCTTCCTTTCTCTATCCCACAAGTCCGTTCATCTGCTTCTCCTAGTGAGAGCTAGCCCAGGGCTGGCCAAGGTCGAGTTAGAGCAGGGCCTGCTGTAGTGGGGCTGTTGCTGCTGTCTCTTCCACCTTCATTTATGTACGTAGCCAGGGGGTCCACACAAGACCTTCCCTGGGGGTGTCCACTTCTACAGACCTTGCCTCTGGTCACCAGGGGATATAAGGAATCAAAGGGGAAAGAAAAGAAAGAGGGAAAACTCCCCTCTTCGTCTTTGTGAATCACAGACAGGTTTCTGCATTGCAAATGTTTCCTTGTCTCAATCTGCTTACACTCATTCAAAATGGAAGTGGTGGGTCTCATTGGTCACCCCAAATCAGAAGTTACCTTCTTTCTTGCATCTGTTCACTTCTCTCCCCTGGTAAGCACTTGAAACACTTACTTATCCCTTTATCAGAAGCTCAGAGTTCCAGGACCATCCTCTGAACCTGTTTTGGCCTGTTTTCCTTATCTTCACTGTAGAGGGTAGAATCTTTCTGCCTAGTTCACTATCCTGCACTCTCTTTTTGCCTAAGTAAAATTGTTGAATCCTGGGTCCCGGTGGAAGAGTAGGATTTGTACTTTTCTAATCCTGGTGTGGCACCATGGATTAATACACTGGACTGTAAAATTAGTTTGAACTGCAAAGTTGGCAGTTCAAGCTCACTAGCTGCTTCTTGGGAACCTTATACAGGATTACTGTGGGTCAGAACTAACCTGATGACACTTATCAACAACAACAAAATGACGAATTAGGAGTCCTGGTGTAGTGCTGTAGGCTAAGCACTGGACTGCTAAATCAGTTTGAACCTCAAGATCAGTGATTCAATCTCACCAGCTACTTCTTGGAAACCTTATACAGAGTTGCTATGAGTTGGAACCTACTGGATGGTAATTAATAACAAATAATAAATAATAATGACTTATGATGTTTAAGGAGTCCTGGTGTGGCACTGCAGGTTAGTACGCTGGACTGCAAGGTTGGCAGTTCAAGCTTAGCAGCTACTCCTCTGAAACACGGAGTCAGAACCAACTTGACGGCACTTAACAACAACAATGATGGTTAAAGGAGCCCTGGTAGAATAGTTGATTCTGAGCTGGGCTGCTAACCAAAAATTCAGCAGTGAGAATCTATCAATCACTGTGTGGGAGAAAGATGATACTTTCTGCTCCCATACAGATTTACCACCTCAGAAAACCTCTGCATGGTCTCTATGAGTTGGATCTAAGTTAGTGGCATATAACCACCACCACCACTAATGATGTTTAGAATGTATTGTAGAAGCATTATTTGACCTAAGTTTTGTGTCATTCTTTCATTCACTTAGTGAACATTTATTGAGAACCTTTTTAGAGCCAGACCATAGAAAAGATTAAATGACAGTCCATGTATTGTAACAATAGGTAAGAAAATAGGCATATTGGATTTGGTGGTTATAATAATATCTGTTCTAAATGCCTTAGTTTTCTCACTGAAATAAGAGGAACAGCATCAACTGAAAATGAAAAAGGGGACAGGAGGTTATTTGGGGTTGATTTAATTGAGAAGTGAAAGTATGCCTAAATCCAAAAAAGTCAGAGCTAATTGAACTTCAAATAATCTATCTATTCATAATTTTTAACTTTAAAAATTATTATGACTGCATCATGCATCAAAATATGTGAAGAGTAATATAATGAACAGATGGGTATCTTTCATGTATTGAAAGAATAACTTATTACTGATAATAGTTGAAAGTCTTGAAGTAACTTTATATTGTTGTAGTCAGCTCCACCCCCGCCTTAAAATTGATCTTTATTTTGTTGTTTTTCTTTGTGTTTCACTATACATACACACATACAAGCACTTTCCTAAGAACATACTGCGTAGTATTATATGGCTTTAAAATGTATATATATATATATTGTATCTTGCCACATTCATTTTCCTGCAGTTTGCTCCTAGAACAACCACATGGCGCTGTGAACAATGATATACACATATACTTGTGTATGTGAGTCATGGTTTCCTTCCGGTACAACCTTAGATGGTAAATTTCTCAGCAACAGAGCCATGTGCTTTTTCAACTTTACTATTTAATACAGAGTTTGTCTCAGATGAGATCTCACCAACAGTTAATAATCTTTTTTTGATCTTAATCTTTGCTAACACTGGATGTCATTAAACATTTGAATGAAAAATGGTGCCTCACTTTTCAATGAATAATTTCCTAATTTTTGGTAAAATTGAAACCTTGCTTATCTATTTTTCCTATTTTTATTACCCGATTTCATATATAACATTTCATATATTACATATATTGTTGTTGTTAAGTGCCATCGAGTCGGTTCCGACCCATAGCGACCCTGTACAGGGTTTCCGAGGGTGTAAATCTTTACGGGAGTAGAGAGCTTCATCTTTCTCCCACAGAGTGGCTGGTAGTTTCGAACCGCTGACCTTAAGGTTCGCAGCCCGATTCGTAACCATTACGCTATTAAATATATATTTATTATGCATTTGGGCACTAACTTTATTCCTAAATCTGACTCAAATATATTCTCTAAATTTGAGCCTATTACCTTAAAGATAGTATCATTTATTTTACAGAAATTTTGGACGACTTGAATATTGTTTTTTTGTTGTTTAAGAAATTCCTTTCAATGTGGATTACTGGCAATATTGTCTTTTGTTTTCTTCTAAAAGTTTTGTTTTTCACCTAAATTAGCTCTTTGATTTATTTGCAATGGGTTGTTTTATATGGAAGAAGTTGGGGCATATTTTCCCCATGTGGATAATCAATTTCCCAGAACCATTTATTGAAAAGTTCATTATTTTCCCATAGATATGTATGCTTCCGCTGTCACTTGCCTAATTTCAAAACCCTCTCTTTTCTTCCATTAGCCTGTTTTTCTATTTCCAGTATTACATTGAGCTTAGAGTTTCATCATGTCGTAGATTGACTAGGGAATTGATTGATCATGGAAACTGCCTTCATTAATCGGGTTGTGGCCACCCCATCTACTATTTTCAGTAGTTCTTGATGCCTTTATTTTGGAAGTTTCTTCCTTTTTTTGTTAACTTTTTTCACCACTTCTGAAGAGGTTATTGGAAAAGATGTGTTTGAGTAATGTCTTCAGTCTGCCTTCTTCCTGCAGGAAAATTGGGGCTTGGAGAACTTTTGAAACTTTGATAGTTTCAGATTCTTTTACTCCACACTGATGCTTTTGCTAAATAAACTCTCACAAGTAATATATGAATTTCTTATATGTTTGATTCCTTTCTGTTTTTGTGCCAAAATGCATTACTACAGTTCTTTTTAAGACAAACTTCTCACTCTAAATATATGTCCTCATATGCAAATATGTGAAACAGTCTCCAAAAGTAGGCACTGTTACACTATTTTTCAAGGGTGTGGCACTGTGGGGTTAATGGCTAGACTGAAAAGTCGGTTTGAACCCCAATGTCAGTGGCTCAAGCTCACCAGACACTCCTCAGAAACCCTATACAGGGTTACTGTGGGTTGGAACCTACTCAATAGCACTTAACAGCAATAACAAAAACATACTGATATGAGCATGTAGCTCAAACTCTAGATTTTTTATTAATGAGAATGAACATTCTGTAACATATCCTTTTCTCCTCTTCAGGAAACAGTGGCTTTTAATTCATCTCTGCTGAGACCCCGTGTGATTGGAGAATGGATTGGTAGAGAAGAAAATGATGCTGATCCACTGGCTGCTGAAATGCTGCAGCCCCCAATTCCACGAAGTAAAAATGAACAGTGGGAAAGTGAAGAGAGCAACTCGAGCCCTGCAGGGAGGTAAGATGAGATGTCTCCCATGATTCTCAGTATTATCAGTCTTTAAAAAGTAAATGCCAAATAAACTCAAGTGCATGGTTTTGGTGAAGTAACTGTCAGTACTTTTATATGGAGAATCATGTTGGGTACCATACAGGATAAAAGTGAAGCTTTTCCTCACATTTAACTAAATAAAGATATAATCTGAAGGAGATGAGCTGTTAATCAAGAAGTACTATAATATTTGTTAGGAAATGAGTGGGAATTACGAGCCTGGAAAAAGGTATTCTGATTTGCCAGAGAGGTAAATAGGGAGAAGAAAATGAAAGTATTGTTGAATAGTCAATGCAGAGTCATTATCAAATGTAAAGAGAGAAATATTGGAATATAACCATTTAAGTTTGGAGTTGGAAATTTTGACTGAATATACTAACATTTTCTTGACTTAAGTTTGGAAACTATAATGATTCTCAGTGTGCTGGTAGAGGTGGTGTTAATGATGAAATTTCCTGATCATACTTATTAGAAAAATCATTTTCATTTCATTATATATATATATATATACACACACACATACATATACACACTCTTGGTGTAGCGCTGTAGAATTAGCACAGGACTGTGAACCATAATGTTGCAAGTTCAAACCCACAAGCTGCTCCTTGGAAACCCAATACAGGGTTACTATGAATCGGAACAAACTCAATGGCATTTAACGTGTATATATATAGTAATACCAACCACAAAACTCAAAACAAAAATGAAAACTTCTTTATGGAAATTGGAGTGAAGAAATGTGAAAGGTGTGGCGTATACATGGGGCTTCAAAAAGTTCATGGAAAAATTCCATCATCTTTTCATTCAATTTTTCCACGAACTTTTTGAAGTCCTGTCATATAAAGTTGAGGCACGTGATTTAAATACTCATCAATTGAAATGTGACAAGGATTAAAACGAAAAACTATTTGTGAGTGTACTAATTGACCTCCACAGAATAATTTTTTCTTCTGCACAGCCTAGCAATAATAACTTGATATTTCCTATTTTAAATGTAGCAATTTGCAACCAATAACTATTCTTTTTCAAGGAGAAAATTGTATTTCCTATAATGTAATAGCTTTCAGGGGTTCTTAGCTTTGACTTATCATCTGGCTGGAGAGAGGGAAATTCAGAATTCTCATTAATGTGCTTCAGGCATGGAGAAAACTGATTCGTTTCTCTGAGAAATAACTTAAATTATTTAAATAGTTGAAGTGTCCTATATATGGAGAAGAAAAGCATTTTTTAAAATCCATTTACTTTCTTTTGTGAAATGCCACATCCATTTCAGTGGTCAACGAGGTAATTTCATTTTTAATACCAGACGTATGAAACCTACTAGACCTTTCAACTTTACTCATTGGTAGATCTTGAGCTCTAAAATATAAGATAGAGAATGTCCACTCTCATTTTTCTTTCATTAATCATCATAATAACCGGGCTATTTATTGAAAATGTTTCTATGTCAGTTTTCTTCTTAGCTTGAGTGAGCTCTTTTTCCCTGTTGATTATCCAATAAAAGCAAATATTTTCTGTTATGCTAGCTGAGCCCTTTACCAAGAAACCTCAATCCAGGAAGATCTCCCTCTAATATTTGTTTTGAAAAGTTCTTTTTAGTTTCATATTCCTCTATATTTTGAGTTAAGATATGCTATGAAATGAAGAAAGTGGTGAAATCCTGTCTAGGCACTATGTTTGAATAAAAGAATACATGAATGTTTTAATTAAATTTAAATAATGACAATAAATGATAGGTAATTATCAATTTTCTTACATCTCCTATAACAGAATTGTACTTCTTGCCTCAAGAATTGATACCAGGGACTCACACAGAATTAGACATAATTTGAATGAATAAGAAAGGATGCAATGAACCTAGTCACACTAGCTTTGCCTGCATTGTCATTGAGCAGTCTGTGGCACTGAAGGATAATGCACTGGACTGCAAGGCCAGTTTGAACCACAAGATTGGTAGTTCAAACCCACCAACTGCTCCTCAGAAACCCTATATAGGGTCACTATGGGTCGGAATTGATTCAACGGCACTTAAAAACAACAAATATCAATTAGTTAAAAATGACATTCTAGATGCCTGTGAGAGGGGTCAAGCATGACTTTATTTTTTTCCTTTTCCATTGTTTGTGTGTGTGTGCATAATATTTTATTGAGATTTTAGTGAAAGTTTACACAGCAGATTTTGTTAATTTTCCATATTGTGTCAGCATCCCCCTTATTTCTGTTCTGATAGTTCTACTTCCATTAGCCCATCTTCCTTGCTCACGCTGACCCTCTCAACTTTGCTTTAGGGTAAATGTTGACTGGTCTTATATACATGATTATTATTATTATTATTACTTTTAAAGAAGCACAGGACAAAAGAATAAAAAAATAATGGTATTTATTCTAGTGTCAGTCTGTTAGTTAGCTGAAAATGATCTCTGGGAGTAATTTCAGTTCAAAGTTTAGAAGGTATCTCATGGCAAGATTCTCAGGGGTTTCTGTAGTCT